AAAGATAATAATAATAATAAAAAAAAGAAAAGAAAAATGAACGGGCCCACGATAGTGTCTAGCATGCGGTTGTCGTCAAAAGACCCCTTCCCTTCTCCTTTTTTACCCTCTTTCTTTACTTTACCCCTCAATCATCAAACAACTTCCCATTACTGACGTTTAAGAGAAGGCCTGGTAACGAAACTTTACCGCAGAGAATTTTGGAGATGGAATTCTGTTTTGAGACCCTAACAATTCACCTCCACAATTCAACGCAAAGCGAGTTCGTCACCAGTTTTTCTCTGACTTTACCTCGGCCAGTATTGGATAGAGCTGCTCCATGCACAGGGATATAATGCCAGGTAAAAAAGCTTTAAACGAAGCGGCGGGAGCCTGGATTAATAACTGTAAGATCTTCAGGAATTTCTCAACAACCTTGGACCCAGTACTACTCTCATGTAAGATGGTTTCGCTCAGCTGTTCCCGGGTGAATATGGACATGAGGTGATGCACGATTTGCTCCGTCATGCTGGATCCAATCTGGATTTTTAGGCTCTCAAACAGTGCAAGAAGAAAGCTTAAAATGGCATCGATTGCATCTGAAATTGAAAATGAAATCGAATGGAAATTTATTTAGCTTTTACCTCACATAAAATCATAGTGAACAATAAAAAAAAACAAATTACAAGCAGATTAGAGGTAAGGGACACCGTCACAGATTCCCCTAATTACGACGGTCCCTTGAATAAAATGACATTAAAAATTGAATATTAACAACAGGAAAGCGCTTTAACTAATGAGTGTCCCTTGCTACATTTGAAGCACAGTCTTCCATGTTCTGCAGTCATCGATGTTGAAATGAATCTTGAAACAACATTTTAAATAGATAACAAGCTTTCTATTGCAATGGCACCTATGATGGCACATCCAGGATGTTTTCAAGGGGGTGGCTGTTACCATGACAGCCAGTCTATTGACTCTTCTTTCTTGACTTTGCATTACTTTGTATTCTTATTTTAAAACCCTGATGGGGGTACCCGATGGATTTGCCCTTGAGGGGAAAGGGATTGAAGTGTTTAAGAATAGCCAAAAGGGATAAAAGGAAAGAATAGTCTAAAAGGAATAGATACAATATATAATACCTGGTTGATGAGCATATACAGGAAATACCGTCAGAGTCATTTGGATATCCTCTTGTATTGACTGACACAAAATAACCTTGGTTTTCGTCACTTGAACATCAGATACAGACAGTACAATATCATGAAGAATGTGTAGGGTAAACTGTAGGGTGCTCTTGGCATTATCTTGCAGTTGCTTGTTGTCAGAGAACCTTGGTATTTCTATGAGCTCTTTATAGTGACGACACAGCCCTTTGATTAGATTCTTGTGGTTCTGAGACCTCATTTCCCATTCCTGTAAAGAAACAAATAGTCCTCTGATTGGGCTTCCTGTGCTATGGTAAGGTATTGGGAAGACTGATACTGAGTGGTATAGAAATACTTTAGCAAACCCACTCTTGTGATAAAAAATGGGTAAGAAATACAACAACAACAGTATTCAAAACAAATGAAGAAAAAATGAAAGTAGAAAACACAATTCTTGGTGTGCAACTAGATGTCCAAAATCGCTTGAGATATAAATAACAATGAAACAGCCACAAGTGAATGAGGAATTCTCAGAACCCATTTGATATCATCAACCTACATGACTGCTATGTGTACCATCGATTCCCAAGAATAGCAACTAACCTGTTTATTATCGGACATCAAGGGCCACGGAAGAACCAAAGCATTGGATAAAGACCTATAAACCAAAGTCTGTACCTGAAAGTACATAACAAATTGTATTAAATGTAGGAATTCTGGTGTCTCAGGTTGGATGGGGTGGGCTTTTTTCTTTTCTTTCACTTTTTTTCTCAATTGCATTTTTATTACTTTTTATACTCATTTTTATCCCTTTCTCTTTTCTTTTCTTGTATTTGTTTACCTATCTCACTGTTCAATCTCTTTGTCTTTTCTTCCCTTTCCTTTCCATTCCATTAAAAAACACACATTTTGTTTGAGTCCTTACCTCAAGGGGAAGGCCAGCTAGACCTCCAGTGCTCACAGTGTGAAAGAGCGTCTGTATCTTGTCTAGTGAAGTCAAGAACGATGGTCTTACAGTAGAGGTGAGGGAGTTCAGAAGATGGCAGGCTGGTAGCACGACACGATGGGATACCTGTGGCATAACAACTCTTTTATTAGTGGCTTTAATTACCACCATGTTGGTTAAATTTAACAACTTCAGACTCAGAAATTTTCTTTTCTTCATTTTTTGCATTCATTTCATTAAAATTAACATTATAACACTTTCCCATTTCAGTCCACATGTCATTCCCTTTGTTTAGCAGTTGTGCAATAGATGAACACATGGTCTCAAATGGGAAATCACTACACCCAAGCTAAATTATAAATCTATAATTAGTTATGTTTATACAGGATATGAAATACACTCTAACTAGACTTAACAAATTATATGTTTCCTTGAAGATATTCGACTTACATCTTTATCCAGAAGAGGTATCAAAGCATCTACTGCAGATGATACAAGTGTTGCAAATTTGTTCTGGTGTTGTTGTTGTCTGTGGCTTTCAATGTAGAACTGTGACAACCAGTGGCAGTAGGCCTGTAAGGATGCTAGACTCTGAGCATGGCTAAAAGGAAACGAACTTTGTTAATACTCTAGCAGGTAAAGATACACCATCATCATCACTGTCATCACCATCATCATGATCCTCAAAAACAGCATCATCATCATGCCATCATCACCATCTAACATGTACACCATCATCATCAATGTCATCACCATCATCATCACTGTCATCACCATCACCATCATCGACAACACCAACATCATCACCATCATCACCTCTAACATGTACACCATCATCATCACCATCATCACCATCTAACATGTACACCATCATCATCATCATCATCATCATCACCATCTAACATGTACACCATCATCATCATCACCATCATCACCATCTAACATGTACACCATCATCATGATCCTCAACAACACCATCATCATCATGCCATCACAACCATGTACACCATCATCATCACTGTCATCACCAAGACCATCTTATGCCATCATCCTCACTGTCATCACCATCATTAATCCCCTACCACTATCATAATCATGATCATCACTGTCATTATCATCTTCCCAATCCTACAACAGAGCCCTAATCGCTATCATCATCCATCATCACCATCATCATCGTCATCATCATCATCTGCATCATCCTGTTCAAATCTTTACTCACACTTCAATCAAATCTTGATTCAGTACTGACTGCATAGACACATGACAGCAATATATCTTGGATTGAGTACTAAACAAAGCAATACGACAGAGCCTGTGACATAAAAAAAACATCATTAGAATGTAGGTATTCTCATCTCCAATGAAAAAATGCTAACACTAAAGTCGGTCAGTTGGGCAATCACTCCACTTATGGGTAATTAAGCTAATCCCCATTTCTTTGCAATCCACCCATCAGGCTGTCCATATCCAAGCCAATCCATCCATTCATCATTTGGTCAGTCAGTCAAACAATATACTGTATGTCTTTCCATCCTTCTATCATCAGTCTGGTCATGTGCCTGTCTATCAATCAGTACGTCCAGAAAGCAAAGTGTAACTTTTAACTTACCTCTCTACAATAGCTTCTCCATCACTAAATCTATTTGAAAAATTCACTTCTCCTATAAAGTGGTCAACTAGTCTCCCTAAAGCTCTCTCCAGTGTGGAAAGATCCCTGAGCGTCCAGTGTAACTGACGAAATTCACTCTCACTGCTAATGTTCAGATGTACACCTGTTATAAAAAAGAAAGATTCACTTCAGTGAATGAAAATGGGAATCAAGAGTGGTGTAGCAGTAGCACGCTTAACTCTTACCACTGGGGCCTCAGGTTCAATTCCTGGACTCACCATCTCATGAGAGTAGAGTACGGTTAGGCCTCTACCTTGAATAAAGGTTTTTCTCAGGGTTTTCCTTCCTCCTCAAAACCTAACAAGCTAAATTCCAATTTGATCTGTGAGTTAGCAACACAAGTCATGACAGACTATATCAACGTATAGGCTAATGTATCTTAGGGTATTGATAAAATTCCAAAGTGTTTCTTTAGGAAAAAATTACAACTGTTTTGATAATAGACCTATCCCGAATTCACTTGGATGACCACGAAACAATGGTTTCAAGTCGAGGTTGAACTTGATGAATAAAAGAATCAAGTTCAGTCTCCACTTCAAACCATTGTCTCGTGGTCATCCAAGCGAATTCAGGAAAGGTCTATTATTATTCCTACTGCAGTGAGTATAATAATTTTTAATTTTTAGGAATTATCTTACCTTGAGGTGTTTTTGTTATGTGTGGTTCAAGGCTATGGTAAACTTTTGAATATTCATTGAACAATGGGAACTAAAATAAAAAATACAGATTAATGATACAATGAAAATTAGAAATGGAGGAATAGCATGGATTTATTGGAGTTGATTGACAAAATGGGACATGGATTGATAAATAGAATGGGATTTGATTAGATTTGATCAGAAAGAATGAAGTGATACAGTATATGGGGCAGGATGGGTGGATTCAAGATAAATGAATTGACAATGTACACCAGAATATAAATGAATGAATGGGATAAAAGATGGATAGGTCAGTGAATGGATTAATGGAAGGGGATGGAATTGAAAATTATAATTTGAATAGAAAAAAATAGAAGAAATGGGRCAGGATGGTGTGGATTAAATGGTTGGATGAATGATCAAAGTTAAAAGTACAACAGATTGACACTATTCATTATTATGTACGTTCTAAACAAATTCAATGCACAAGTTTTGATTCAAAATTTCGAGCAAAGTAATTAGGCTTTGATGTGTAACTCACCAATAAAGAAAAGGCCTCTGACGGCAGCAGTTCTGCTATTTTTGAAATTATTTCCAACAGATTTCTTTGGTATGCTTGCCATTCTGTCTCAGACTAAAGAAAAACAATATATTTTAATTTTACTGTACAAAAATAAAGGAGCATATTCTAAAAGAATTACGGTCCATTCACTACCTTGCACTTTCGCTACTGCACACTCACTACTAAAAGAAGTCGAATCGTTACCTCAAAGTAGCACAATCACTACTTTATCTCAAGATGCCTGTAAACCTCCTATATAACATTTTTGATCCTTTATTATCAGTAATTTTAAGTTATTTTTTTATTATTTGAATGTTTCTTTAAAGAAAGAGATTTCAAAGCGTATTTGGYGTAATGGACAGTTGGGGGAGGTTAGTGGGCTAACTTACTTACTGTACTGCTCATTATACCATTATGGGAGCTAAGAATGGAAATATAAGAAACTAGTATGCAAAAGGGAAAAAGTGGCAGGCTATACCCCCTCTCCCCAGCCCCTCCCCTCTGCAGTCCCTGCTCTAACCCCTTAGGGCTTATTGATATAATATTTCCTTACGTTGTCGTCCACAACTTGATCATCTAGTTCTTCAAGAAATGTTGGGTTATGATGAAACTGGATCTTCTTGATGAGCTCATTCAGGAGGAGCATGAGAACCTCTTTGTATCTAGAAGAAAAAACAAAAACATGAATGACAGCCCTTGGCGTAGCCAGGGGGCCAAGGTGACCCCCCATCTTTATGCTGTAGAAACTTAAACATCTATGATGTTCCGAAAATTAGTTCCCCACCCCCCACCCTCCACTCCCCAAAGGAAAAATTTTGGCTACACCCTTGAATAGCTTAGCAACAAAATTATTTGATAGATAAATGTTCAGTACAATGTTTGCTGCAGCATGTTATGTTTCAGCATTCTGATTGGATCGACAGTGAGACATGATATTCCGAGTAGTTCAACATATAATTTTATGAGCCAGGGTAAAACAAACAGTTGAACACTTCTAAACTCATGGCCATCAAAATCAGTAAAATCTATGCATGTAGTACAGGTTATTGTAATACGTATGTACAGGAAATAATTTTACAGCTGTTCGGCCCTTGGCCTTGGAGGATTTGATTACTTCCACTAATCATCCCTTGGCCTTGGGACATTTACAGTAATCACTGATATCCCTCATAGCCATGGTGTTACTTAATATACAGGTAATTAAAGTCTATACCTTGATACAGTAGCCTCTGCTTCTGCTAATTTGTCACTACGAGCATTTGATACCTTAGATGTCAAGTAATCCAAGAATACAGCCCAAATATCAAGACAAGAGAACAGTCCTTCATTGTCAGGCTGCGAGATTCAAAGAACAATAATACATAAGTATTCATTAATAGATCATTTTAGCTTCAGTATGATCTTTTCCCAATTCAGACCATGTGGCATTCCCTTGAGTATTATTATCTTGAAGCACAGAAGAGAACCAGTAAACAGGCCTATTGATAGGTCCAAGACCAAAGTATGGCTCAAGGTAGTCAATAGCAGTGCACGACACTAAGTGTCTTGTTCTCTTACTAGCCACTGGTTGTTGGTTCTCTGCTGTACTTTTATATAATTTTCTCTTGATTATCTGGTTTTTCCTGTTCCATAGAAATCAAAATTTCTAGATTTCTAATAGAATAGTGAAATGACTGCCATGCCATATGAGTGTTACTGGTATTTCTAGTGCTGCTTGCCAAATTTCATTGGGTCAAGAACATTTGAAGTTTCATAAAACAGGCTGAGGTCATTATTTTGTCAGGGTTTTGTGCATGCCAAAAACTTATAATTTTATATTCTCAGTAAGTGAACATTCTTATTATTATGCTAATTACTCACCTGTTTAAAGGTGTATTTGAACAGTAGTGTGAGCAATTCAAGAACTGGAAAGTGAGAACTGTTTTCAAATCTCCTGAGGTGAATGCTCACAAACATACAAAGAAATTCAGTGAACTTGCTTATGTAGCTAAAGAGGAGAATCAAGAAGTATGTGAACGTCAATACAGTATAACAGGTAGGTGAGTGAGTTCATGAGTCATTCAGGTAAGTTGGTCGGTCGGTTGGTGGATCAGTGGGTGGATCAGTCGGTGGATCAGTCTGTCAGTCGGTCAGTCGGTCAGTCGGTCAGTCAGTAAGTCAACTTGTCAGGACTGTAGGTTAGGTCGGTCAGTTCAAAATCAGTTAATCAAGTATATACAGTATTACAGTCATATAATCTGTGTTATCAAATACCATTTACCTCTCATCCAATTCAGACAGATCACTGTCAATAGATTGAACTCCACCCTCTTTAGTTATTCTTTGTAATAGTTGAAACGTCTGCTGGAACAGCTTGAGAAGGAATTCCTCAAACTCTGCAGGAACACAGTTCTTGGAGAGCAGTTCATTAATGCAAGTCATTGCAAGTACACCTGCAAAAAGATAATGAAATATTAATAATTTTGAGGGATTAATTTAACTTAAGAGAGGAACTAGCATTTCTGTATACCTACCAAGTTGAGGATTTCCTACAATACTGCCATTAGAGCCAGACAAAGCACAACAACCAAACTCTGCGAAATAAAACACTGTACCCAGCAACTGTGGCGTGATGGTGCTCGACAAAGGTATCCAGCTAAACAAGTGACTCAAACACTTCAGTGCAAGGCTACTGATCTCTTCTGACTCGGGATCCAGTGCCGGTAATTGCAGCAACTTTGGAGACTGGTTGAGTAGCCTACCTATATGTAAAAGAATTCCCATTGAAATGTGTTCAGTAGCTTGTCAGTTCAAAAAAAAAAACACCTCTTTGGCTTGGGTATAATGCCTACCCATGTCATACAACATGTCATTCCCTAGAGTATCATTTCTTYGTTTAAGAGAAGACATGTTAATATGGATACGACTCAAACAAAAACCCATATTCACAAGAGAGTGACACGTGGTCTGAAATGGAAAAACATTACGCCCAAACTAAAGAGGGGCATATCATCTTAATAAGCAACAATTACTATTAAAACATGGTGTATTGAGAATGTAGGAATTACCGTAGGTTACTTACCTGTAATAATTGGGCTGGCGCTGCGACCAGTGGATATACCATGGGTAGGTGATGGTGGGGGTGTCACAGTCGTCGTCACTCGTCTGTGTCTCTCTAAAATCCTCTCCAAGAGTTGCCCAATAAGTGTTAGTACCCCAGGCACTTGATTGAGCAAAAGTCTATGTAGTTCATTTCGGCGTGCAATACTGAGGTCTTCTCGGGGTGAGGCCATTTCTTCTGACGTTGTATGTAGCATAATAAGGCCAAGGGTGGTGGTTGAAGGTTGTTGGATAAGCTGGAAAACAAATTGATTATTACTGTAGTTAATGATCTCTGAATTCTGAATATCTGGGACAAACTGTATAATTATGAATTCATAAGATTATTCATATACTAGATTCAAGCAACAGAAATTGATTCGCAAGCAGGGGCAGGTTCAGTAGTGCATTGACACCTCTGTAATGTTGTAATTATTACTCTTATTTACGCTTTTAATTTTGAAGCAAAAGAAACATATTCAATGTATAAAATCACTTTATACATTTCTTCATTTGGGATGTCACCCTCTAACAAATTCCTGGATCTGCCCTGGTGCAAAATTCATTCAGTTGATTGATAGATCGTTTAGAATATTTAGAATTTTAGTAACTTGAGCTTTAAAAATGCTATAATAAAATTATGTAATATACCTCTATGATGTTGGTGAAAAAATTATAATAGAAGTGTGGCCAGTCAATTCTCCCAACATCCACTATAACTTTGACAAGTTTATTCCTCACAAATGAGGGCAGTGCTTTGTGGTGCGTCAATAAATATTGGTTAAGGAAATTCCGTATTTCAGTCTTGTCTGATGATTGTATTCCCAGCCACTGCTTGTTGATCAGATTCTGAGTATAAAATAAGTCATCAGGTGATCAATACACTTTTAACGGCATGGTATATATTATATATTGTACACATACAGTAATCAAATTGTGCTTTACGATGAAATGCATTATGGCATCATTCACTACGACAGTCTTACTATATACAAATTTAAATAAGATTAAGGAAATTTGCAAAACATTTTGATAGTGGTAGCCAAATGGGTTGATGCCCTCATGGGAACGCTCTATTTTATATGATCAAGGTATATAATAATGGGAGGTTCTAATTACCAACTGAGATAACTGGGTGGCAGTTATAAAAAAAGTAGACACTGAAAGTGATTTCAGAAAATGCCTGACATTCTTTATAGAGAGTAATTATATAGCTTCACCAATATGCAGTAAGTTCAAATCGCTATCACACCATACACCACACATTAGCATAGTTACCTCAAAGACAGATATTGCATACATGAGTACATAGTGATTACTACTATGACCCATGAAATATACACAGTGGTGCCATGCTCCAGACTGCTGACCAAAATTATGAAGCACTTGTTCTAACATAGAAAAAGACACAGGAAACCCAACATGAATAAAACACTCATAATATATCAATAAATCCAGTTTCCAAATCTCTGTGCTCAGGGTAAGGCAAATTTTACATAAAACATTCAAGTTCTAGTGAATGTCTGTGGAATTTCAAAGTGTTTGTATTGYTGAAGTTGTGCATTCTTTACTTTACCAATGGTATAAATTGTGAATCTTTTGACACTACAATAAGACTAACTTTGAGCAAATAGGTCTGTTATCAAGAAACTCAGCTGTATTTTACAATTATTTGAAAAAATATAATCTTGTACACGTAAAAGTGCAGGCCGCATCTGACTGGGTTAAAACTGCAGTTATGGTGTCATTTGATAAAGGATTGTTCAATAAACTTATAGGATTGACAACCAACCTATTTCTCTTTTCCTTTGATTGCCAGTTGTCCCACTGAAGAATTCATTCATTAGTGCTTCAAGAGAGTGAAGTGATGCACTATCTGAAGCCTAAAAGATAAGTATACAATGCTGTGAAATATTCTTCGATTGCATGTTACATCATCGTGGCCATGTTGGTGCCATTTAACAAAAGATTTCTCATTACCATCCATTGTTAACTACACCACAATGGCCGCCATGTTTTTGTCTTTTGATTCTCTAGGGAATGCTTGCGACCCATCAATAGACACATTACAAGGGCGGATCTGGGCAAGGTCTCAGCTCCAGAAATTTATTTCAATATGCATGGTAAATGTTCTTTTGTTTCCAAAAAGTAATCAGATTGCAGCACGTACTGCAAATAATGGCCAGCCGTGACACAGATTTAAAGACCAATGGAATGTGACCTCATCGACAATCTACAAAAGTAGATGCTTTTTTCATTTCCTCTCCCCCCCTCCTTTCCCCAGTTGTACTTTATCTAACAGAATCTAGGACATATAAACAATAAAAAACTGTTCTTTATATCGTATCGTATGGTAAAGTTTTTCTTCCAAGTAAGAAATATGATCGTCTTTATACACAAAAGGCTTCCTTTGTTCACAGAAATTATCAATAGATGACATTAACCTGAATAGTGGTCGGAAATGGAGCTCAATACCCCTTACTTAGAGATTCAAATTATAGGAATCTATACAATTATAGCTTAAATGTAACTAAATAGTTCAGTTTTTTGGGTGACTTTTGCAAAAGATGTAGAAAGATTTTGAACTACTACATTTGGGGAGCGACGGGTTATGAATATTTTTTGGAGTTAAGGCAGCTCAAATAGACGTAAGAATTTGTCTTCTACGTTAAGAACAACTTACCATTTTATGGACTTCTTGGTTTCTAGTTTCCTTTGAAATTTTTTTCTCAAATTTTCGTCACGACAGCATTTCCAGGTCAACGAACAAAACCTTTCTTGTCTTCCTCAACACGAAAAAAATGAAAGTTTTGCCGAAAGGAAAATGTTTCAAAGAAAACTACTTCAGCTCTACAGTAGGTTTTTCTATAGAGCTGTGCTGTGTGTTAGAATTGTTTAAGAAATGTGAGTAAAACTAGAGAAATTGGAGTGAATTTTCTCATCTTTTATGAGCCTTTTCCTTACTGTACGTCGCCATATTGAGACCTACATTAGAACCAGGCTCTCATGCACTAGACCGCTGCCCCGTGTCYCACCCAAGAATAACCTTTAGGGAGGGGAGGGTGGGTGTATCATTCAAATACTTTGAGAGAGAGTTTGTGAGGAAGTTAAGGTGACATATGGATAATATTTTACTGATTTTGAATGGTGGATATGGCTAGGGAGGGAGTGGGGGGTGGGGGAGATAAGTGGAAACGCAAGGTAATTCCAGGTTGACAGAAAACAAAACAAAAAAAAATTTTTTTAGCACTGTAAGAAAAGAAAAGTTTTGTATTAAATTGCCAAAATGGATGTTCATATAACATAGTTTAGGAAGGTTAAAAGATTCCCCTGAYCACAGGTCCTGACCTCACTATTTCAACCAAAAACAACTGCAAAATGATATTCAAATGTATTCATTTATTCAGTGTACACAAATGTTCTTCTCTTTTTAATACCATATTTCTTAATCACATTATATATTTTCAAAGGTTAAAAATACTCAAAAACAATGCTAAGCCTGTACAATCATCTGTAGCCGGGGGAAAAAGGAATTTCTTAGCTAATTTTCGAGTTTATATGATGCTTTAGGGAATGACATGGTCTGAAGTGAAAATCAAAACATTACATGAATTAATTTGCAAGGTTACAATATTTGGCTTTAGTTGACTTGTGCATCTCTAAAGGCAAGGCTTATAACTGCTTTCTGATGACCTTTGTATTCTCGTACCACCTCTCCAGCATCAATGTTCCATAAGCGAGCAATGTTGTCTGAAGAAGCTACAAAATAATGACAAAAATGATAAATAAAATAAGAATGACTAATAGAGTGTGCGTTAAAACCATCGGACCACCTCTAGTGACAGGCCTGTTGTATGGAATAATTAAATGACACTGTATAAGTACAGGCCCATAATCAACGATCCAGACTTCCAAAAATATGGGGGCTCATATTTGCCACTTTTTTTTTTTTTTT